AAAAAAAAAGAACCTTACCTTGTTGTACTGGATTTTGCTGATGTCAAGTTCGGATTGGGGAAGTCCAGGAAAACGATGCTTCATGATAAGCAAAAACGTCTCTGCCCGATCTTCGAAAAGTTCTCTTTTATCGGATTTCATGCCCGAGCTCCAAGACGACTTGCTATCCTTAGCGTGCATTTTCCTTTTCCAGATCACCACCGATGCCTCTATCCTATTCTTGAGGTCGAGGATTTTATGCTCTGTGGAGAGGTCTAAGGTAGACATCACGTAGTCTGGATCAAAGAAATCATCCGTGATGCTCTTGTATATCGAGTCCCCAAGACTTGATCTTCCATTCTATGAATGAATATAAATACCGTGTGTAAAAAGGCATAAATATTATGTCACCAAAACACCGAAAATATACAAAATCGACACTATATAGGCTGTCAAAAACAGTCTAGTTTGAATTCAAAGGCACAATTTACTCCATAATATACAGAAATGCACGACATTCTCGAATTAGATGTATTGACTTGAAATTTAGTATTTATTCACATTAATTTGCCCCATGAGGAGAAAGTGAACGGAAAAAAGAAATGTATTAAAAATATTCGAAGGCACTTTAGACTATGTTGGTCACCAAATAAGCTAGCTTCATGTATTCAAATGAGCTTCGTTTGGTAGGATGAGGTTTGTTAGAAAGCTCGAGCTAGCTTATTTCAAAAGCTTTTCTGGGTAGCTTTTCAAATAAGCTCGCTGAAAATTTTATTTCAGCTAGCTTATCAGCTAATTTTACCAAACACCTTTATCATATAAGCTATCTTTTCAGCTTTAAGTCATAAACGATAAGCTATAAGCTCGAAAATCACTTATAAGCTATCAACTAACTTATTAGCTAGCTTATCAGCTAGTTTTACTAAACAATGCCTCAACCTAACTTCAACCAGCGTTCTTTCACTCTAGCATCAAAATGTATTAGTAAGTAAAAGATAAAGAGCAATTTAACCAAATGCTAATTTCCAAATCATATGCATTTCATGACTACATCTCTTTTTTTTCCTGGTCTCCTCCTTGTACCTTAGGTAGTGCCTCGATGTAATTTTCCGGGATTTCCATTTCGGCAAGGACCTGAGCATTTATAGCCATGGCCGCTTTTAGTATTTGTGTGACACAATCCTTCTGATATTGCAACCATTTTCTCGTGGCCTCAGAGAGGCCGTTTGGTGGGACCTTCGGGACTGGAATCCACCACTTGTCGTCTTTTCTTTTGTTCTTTCCATCCTTAGAGTCCTCATCATCCTTTGACACATAGTAGAACTCCGTTTGGTCTTTAAAATTGTCTAGACACTCCTGTCAGTAATTCAGCACAAAGGGTATGAGCCAAAAAAAAAAAAGAGGCCAACAGAATATATATAAGAATAAAAGATAAAAGGGAAAATCTGCTCTAACAAGAAGCATATAGTCAAGCTTGCGTAAGGCGGGAATGTTCATGTGAAGATCAGTTCTCGGCCTTGTTCCCATGATCTGTGTAAGAAAGAATACACAATAAGAAGTGCATACTAAGAGAAAGAACATACTTAGACAATCTTGCGGAGAAGTGATCGTGGGCGTGTTTGGAGAAAGTAACTTTTTAGTGATTTCAATGGCAATTTTCTACTTCTGCGCCGCATTATTTAATTGACATAAAAAAAAAAATGATGGGCGATGTCGATTTTGCTTGTGGTTTGATCTTTACACGTTACACTTGTACATGCATTCAGAGAGAGAGAGAGAAACCTCCATGCTGACTCCATCTTTTGACGTTTGTTTTGTAGGTGCAAATTCAACAATGTAATCGGTGACAGATAAAAGCCAATCTATCTCTTTTTTCCATCTTGCTTTGGTATCGGGTGCCATGGGTTCAAGTCTCTTCTGCTCTCCAAATGCAGAAGCTGAATGCAGTTAAAAAAATAAAATAAAATTGTAGATAAGCCAGCCAGACTTTTTGCACGATTCAAACTAAGAACTCTGGCAAATTATTGACAAGGAATATCATAATTTTGTAGTTTATATATGACAGTAAACGACTGAACTTATAACTTCTACTGACGAAAAGTACTATATTTTCATTTTATTTTTTTTTTCAAGTTATAAGTACCTGCTAAATTTGTAATGGCATTTGACAAAGCCAAAGCTGAAGAAACACCTTTTCCCCCACCAGACATATCTTCACCTAGGAGCAACTTTGCAAATTTTTCCTTCATCAACTCCATATCTGATCACATCAACAAAAAATGAACTCATGAAAAACAGAGTTAAAAAGCGAAACAAAGCTAAATTTTACGAAGTATTCAGGCTTCAATTCGCCTTGTTCGATTAAACTACTAGTACATATTTGAAAAAAACTTTTTCAATCATAAATTTAACCACAATGGCCCGAAATAATGAATACAGAACCACTAAGCCACAACATGAACAGATAAACCATGATGAAGGAAGGCCCTTTTATCGTTAAACCACTGCAATAATGTATTCACATAAGAACTCCATGGGGGATCTTAATACACAAACAGATAACTCAAACCAAACTTAGCAAGAAAAACGTCGAAAGAGAAAATCTGCATATAAAAAAGAGATTTATTGTTAGCAATATTTTTTTTCTCATTTTGGACTTGCCTGTATGTTGCTTATCTCGTGCGCGTGGGCTGGCCATGCGAATCAACGTTTTCCGCATGTGATCGATGATCCTGTCACAATGTATGGCCTCAATGTGTCATCTCAATCTATGAACAACAATCCCTCGTCCGCATTTAATCAAAAACCTGACCTGCATTTTTTTTTTTTAAAAAAAAATTCCTTCAACGGCACCCAACCCAACAGGGATTTTTCGATTGCCTCTTCCTCTCTTCGGACCCTGTATGATTCTAAACAGCAAATGAGGAAACCACTGATCGATTTATTTTGGCGATCGACGAAAAAGATTACGTTTTTTTGCTCCCAAGAATTGTGAATTGCAATAATATGAGGCAAATGGAGAAGATGCTTCAATGATGAGGCAAAAAAAAATGTGTTCTTTATGGCTATGCACAAATGAAAAAGACAAATTAGAGGCAAACATAAAAATGTTTTTTTTTTTGTTCTCTTTTTTCTTCTGAGTTATGCAGAAGCACATAAAGCATGAAATGAAAAAAAAAATTGGAACAGAAGGGATTTTTTGTTCTTCTTTTTTCCCTTCTGTTTTTAATAATAATTTTTTTTATATTTCACCTGTATATTTTTCTGTGTGCTAATTGCAATATGGTACTTAGGCCATGCTCCCCCTGCAAAAACACACACAAACACACACACACACACACACACACACACACACAAAAAGTGGTCAAATCCTAAATATAGCAGCATTTTGAATGGCTATGAATATATCAGCCATTTTATTATGTAAAAGGATTCTATCTTTTCTCCTCTCACACACACAATTTAGTTTGTTTACTACTTCTTTTTCTAATTTATTATAAATTTAGTTTGATTGAAAATATTAATTTTAAAGAATTGGTTTGACTATTTGACTGGAGGCAAAAATTAGTTGAGCTGCTTGGGGTTGGGGAGCCAAGTATAGAATTTGGAGAATATTGATTGTTTTGACTGAGAAATTCCTGCTTTTGATTGCTGAGTGTATTCATTTTGATGAGATATTTATAGTTTGGTTCATGAAAATCTAATAAGCCTAATTACAGTCGTTAAACCGACCTAATGGTTCGCAAACACATCTCGATTTGGCTCGTGAAAGCTTGAGCTCGGCTTGCTCGTATACAGCTAATCAAGCTTGTTTATCAAACGAACACGAGCTTAAACGAGAGCTATTTGGCCGAAAATTACGAATTTTGTCTGAAATGTTTGTAAATACTACCTTGAGGGTGCAAATTGTAAAATAAAGGCAAATATCTAGGGGATTCTTGTAATTCTTAAAATAAAGTTAGAGTCTTTTTTTCTTTTTTT